GTAATCTAAAAGCTTAATCTATTTACTATAATTTCCCTTAGTTTCATGTCTGTATCTCTTTATTTGAAGGCTCTGATGCAATTTTTATTTATATAGTTTTTACATATATTCTTATTTTTTTAAAAAAAAGTTTGTTATTGATTGGCATTATGTTACATCACCTAATTTTGATTTAATTAGGGCATCTCACACCCCAATAAATAATGCATTAATATATTATTATCTCATCAGTTATATCATCAAGAATTTAGTGAACATTCTTGTCTAATCACAAACAATACATCTGTATTTATTTATCTCATTTTTATATCATCATTTTTATATCATCACTTATATCATTGATTATCTAGTGTGAAGAAATACATTTGTATTCCTATTAAATTTTATTATGTTCAGAAATATGTATAAAAGATTGATTTTGCAACCTCCTAATGTTTGAGATAAAAGATAAATAAATAAATATTTTAAAAAATTTTAAATTTAAAAAATCACGTGAAATTCGATAACTCGGTTCTCTCGATAATAATAAGTCGGTTACAGGGGTCCTCCCCGACATGACCGACTTATCGAGTTTACATATGTATTATTATTATTAATATTAATATTAATTAAATTTGGGTGTTTGGATATACGTATATATACAAAATTCTGATTGGCTAATTTGAGTTTCACGCGCGTGAATTTCAAATTCACGCACAAAATTTAGATGCGCACATTTCGTTGATCAAATTACAGAATTATAAATTGTCATATTGCAACAAAACCAAAGTGAACATTGGTATTTCCAGAATTACAGGGATCAATTTAATATTTGTCTTTTGCTTAAGCTACAAGTTATTATGATTTTTTTATGTATATTTTTGCATAGTTGATGAATTTAGGATGTCTAAAATTTTGGGTCAAATATAAACCGAAACCCGAATTTTCGGTTCGGTTTCGGATTGCAGTGTCATTTTTATTCTTTGATATTAATCTTATTCACAAAATATGATAATGAGCTTTTTTTACGATAATTCAATTTTTATAGGAATAGCAAAAAATTTCAGGCAACTGCAAGAAATAATAATAATACCAATTCAAATATTGTCATGTTTTCTGCTATCTATATAACAAATCACTTAAACATAATTACGAGTTTTTTATGGTGAAATAATAAGATTTGGTCCTTTCGACAATTCATTTAATCAAAGAATTGATGCTATAGAAGACAATTTAAACTTGCAAAATACTCTTGGCTTTATTAATCAAACTTTTGCAACTGCAATAGATTTTGTTATTGTAACAAAAAATTTGACTCATTTCTGCTGTTTGCACCCCATATAGTGTTGGTTTCCAAAACTAGAGAGTTTCGCAACCATGCGAAAGTCAAAAGGTTTCGCCACAAGTCGAAATTAGTTTTGATTTTTGACTATTGACTTTTGATTTAGTTTTGACATATAACTTTTAATTTTAGCTTTGACCTTCGCCTCTTCAAAATAGTTTTGACGATCAACACTAACCCCATATCAACAATGCTATATTGAAATCAGCAACCAAGCATTGAATCATTTATTAAAGTAATCGGGAAGCATCGCCTGCAGTGAATTATGATGAATAAAAAGAAACACTGCTCAAGCTTTTGAGTTCATTTGATTTTACGTTAATTGATAATTATTATATCAGGTAGCAAAGTGATTGATTTTTAGAAAATGCGTTTTATACAGAGAACAATGCCAATTTGAATAGTGTTATGCAAATATATGTGCACGATTGTACCTATTTAGGCTTTATTATTATTGAAGAACCATTTTTAGTTCAAAAATTAATATTTCCTATCAGTATGATTATTTTTATGACAGATTCATCAAAGAAAATTTTTTTAAAGAAACTATATAATTATATTAGCATCCTAATAATATAATAGTAATCACAATGATAATGAATGTTAAAATAAAATATTTTATCATTATTTTATCAATAACTTTGTTAAATGGTTCTTTGTTGGTCAATTGTCAATCAACTACAGGAAGATGGTAAGTGAACTAGATAATATTTTATTTATAATAACAACAACAATAACAACAACAATAATAATAATATAATAATAATAGGGGTCATACAGCTACATTAGTGGGTGAGAAATAGTAATATATACATTTCAAAAATTATTCAAAAAAAGTTTATATGTTTATGGAGGTAGAATGTTAATGGCGGATAATCTTAATTTTGATCCTATTGATGAGTTTAGTTCTGGCGTTGACGTAAATGCTGCTATGTTGTATTTGGATGTATCAAAAACTTTGATCCAAAATATCCAGGATGGAATTCATTAGAAGGATATATTCCTATTTCATTTCATAGTATGTCAATTGGAGGTCAAGATAAAAATTTATTAATAATATTTGGTGGCTTTTCAAAAAGGAAAGCACCCCCAAATCCATTATATATTTTCAATACAACAAGCAAGTCAAAGTCATTAGCTTTTAAAGAAGTTATACCAGAATGTACTGGTCGTGTGCTACACACTTCAGTCACCAAATATGATTCAAAAGTTTTTATATTAGGTGGATCCTCCTTACCTGTTGTTGAAAAAACTAGTGTTGGTGATGCATTAAATACGTTATGTGTGTATGATTCATTAACAGACACATTTAAAATGTCACCAATAAATGTTTTTCCAAAAGGAATTTCTCATCATACTTCAACTTTACTAAGTGATGATCTCATTTATGTTATTGGTGGTATTAATAATGTGGTGGATGGTACAGGCTCCTCTCTCCTATCGGAAATGAATGTAATTACTATTTATGACACTAATCTAGATACTTGGACCTCAAAGGTTAAATGTTTTTACATTACATTCATTACATTGTAATCATAATTATAACTATTATATTTAATTACTAAATTTAAATAGCTTATTTACATAATTTTATTTAAACGTTTAGACCACTTTAGGTGTTACTCCCTCACCAAGAAGAGGTCATCGAGCTGTTGGAAGTAAGTTTTCAAATATTAAATATCTTTTCAGCAAAATTAATTGATTATTTACATGTATATCTATCAACATAATATATCTTTCTTCCTGTTTATCATTAGCAACAGACAAGAAAATTATTATTTATGGTGGTTGTAAGAATGCAAAAATTATTTATGATGATGTGTTAGAACTTGATACAACTACACTGGCATGGAAAACTATCCAACCTTTGGGAATAACTAAACTACCAGGATTGTTTGATAATACAATGACAATGGTTGGAACTAATATTATAATTGCATATGGTAAATAATTATAATAATTGTCAGAAAATAAATTTACTAGTTTAGTTATTTATTAATTTTCAACTTTTTTTAAACAAATTATTACATAGGATTTATGGTGAGTAAAATGTTACATTATCTATTTATATATCTATTTATATATTTTTTAAAATAAAATATTTATTTTATATTAGGGGTTTGAAATTTTAAAAACAATACCATCAAATATATTTATACTTGATTCCACAACTTATACATGGTTGGAAACATACACACCTAATATTCCAATACGGTCATCAACTTCTATGACACCAGCACCTTCTACATATACTTCTGCTACATCATCATCATCATCATCATTATCAGATCCAATTCCTTCACCCTCAACAAATTCTGATAATTTTGGACAAGATTCTTCAAACACTACTAGTGATGCTAAGCTAGCTATAATTATTGGATCAGTTGCACCTGGTGCAATCTTCATTATTGCTTTTATTGCTATTCTTATTTTATATAGAAGAAAAAAGAAATCCAATGAAATGGTTAAAAATGAAGATAAAAATGAATTTAATACTAGTAATATTGAAATCATTTCAAACAATGATAATAGCTACAAATATAC